CTCTGCACCCAGAAAATGCTTCTCCGGGCAAAGAAAAGTTGGAGAGGAAAGGCCAGCCTGGTTTCTTGGAGCCGCAACGGCGGCTCAGCCGGCGAAGGGGGGGTCGATCGATCGCCCAGAGATGCCCCCGTGCCCGAGCGTGGGAAGCAGGCCCTTAAAATAAAAGCTCGTGGGCACAGCGGGGGGAAAACAAAGTTAAAAATAAACCACCTTTTCTGAACTTCTGCCCTATTTCTGCCAAGGTTCTTTCAGTGCCAGATACAGATAAAGGTCTCTGCCTCCCCGAAAAAACTTCCATTGTTTAAAAACTATTCTTCAGCGCCACGAGGGCCTTTACGATACTGGCGGGTCTTTTACCGAGAACAAGGTTAAAAAAAAAATGCAGCGGTTGAAGCTGGCCAACATCCTGGATTTTTGGAACCAATTTCTAAGAGGGAGGTTTGGACTTTTAGCCGAAGGAGGAGAGATTTTGGGGGCTGAACAGGCTGGGAAGAGCATCCTGCAACTCCAGATTGCCCTGGAGAAATTTTAGGCTGGGAACAGTTAAGATAAATAAAAGCATTTTCTTTTCCATGCAAATGGTCTCACTGACTTAAGAAAAAAAAAAGAACCTGATTTTGAAAGGCAGCATAATTTTTAAAAAATAAAATAAGTAGGAAGAGGAAAAAGAGACAAACTTCATGTCAAAAAGCAGTGAGGAGCGAACAGTATTCACGTCTAGACCTGGGAACTAGGCTAAGGTCGATACCAGAATTTACACCCCAATTTATTTCCACTTTATTGTTAGGGAAGCGGAGCAGCGTATGAAGTAAAGTGATAAGCAGAGGAAAGCATGCGGGGGGAGGTAATTCTCCTTATATCGGCACGGGGTGAGCAATGGTGACTGCTGTGGGGTGGGGGCGGACTAAGAGGGTCGAGGCCCTTTCCTCCTCTCGTTCAAGGGCACCGATGCCATGGCGGACGACAACGGCCTGTTTGCAAAGATTGTGGAAAACGGGGGCGAAGTTCTGGAGGCCGACGTGCAGAACAGCTGCAACACGGAGCCCAACACCTTGCTGCAGAAGCTGAAGAGTGCCATCTCGTAAGGGGGATGCGTCTTATTTCTCGCGTGTGCCCGTGTACTCACACACACACATACACACACGCCCTGATTTTCTCTTTGGTCTCAGAAACTCGAGAGAAACTCGAGCGCCCCATTAAGGAACGTAAGGAGAGCACAGGCAGAGACTTAAATTCCTAGCCCCTAATGTTAAATTCGGGGCTGACGTAGCCACCGCTTCTCCGCAAAGAGCACCTCCTGCACCTGTGGAACTCCCTACCCCATGAAATGGCCGGGGCCATCGGTTTCGAAGGCTCTGGAAGGAGAGGAGGAGCAGAGAGGCTGGCAGAGATTAGAGGCTTCATTGCAAGGGGCATTTTTAGAGCATATGCCTAGAGAGACCGGGGCAGCTCTGAGTCATCCTGATCGTAAAGGGTCCCTTGGTTGATCGCTGTTGGGAAGAGAAAACTGAGTAAATTGCTTGCCCAAGCATCTCTGTTCTAAGGCAGTCGGGCCCAGTCAGTCCTTGGATGGGAGGCCACCAGGAGTGGATCCATGCCACTCCATTCTAGACTTCCATACCAACCCCTTCCATACTGCTAGCCCAAAAGCAACGGGCAACCTCCAGGGATTGAGCTCTTTTCAAAGGAGATTTTGCCATAATCAAGGGGTGAAAAAAACAATAAAAATATGTTCTTCTTGTGTTCCCAACAGAAAGTCTGTCCAGAGCAAAGTTGACGGTATCTTGGTAAGTGTCTGGTTTCGCCACTGGACTCTATTCGTGGTGTTTCTTGCAAAGGCGCAAAAGCCCCCAATTCACGGGCAAAATGTTTGGGGGTGCCACGACAGTCTGCTCATTAAATGCAGACCCAATCTCGGGGTTTCACTTCCCACTGATCCTCAAACGTCTCTCCCTCTCTCTTTCTCCCGTGTTGGCCGTAACAGCAAGATGTCCAGAAATTTTCAGATTATGCCAAACTTTATCTGTATCTTCAGCTGCCTTCGGGCCCAAGTTCAGGAGAAAAAAGGTGAGTGAGTAATCACCGTCTGGGGGTCTAACAGATTTGGAAACACAGCACAACAGCATTACAACACTTGTTGACCAAGTGAAAAGTGATTTTCTTTCCCCCTCTGTGTCCTATAACACGCTTGATTAACGGCAGAAGACGCAGCAAGTTTCTGAGAATGAGATTAGATCTCTCAGCTTCCTGGTCACACAACAGAGAAAGCCCCCCTCCAGTTTGTCTGCCCTTTGCCATTCATCGATGGCAAGATTTAGAACGAGATTTAGAAAGGACAGGTTTCTATACGTTTTGGATTAGTGTGACAGAAAGCTGTGTCTGAAAGACGCTGCCCACAGCGAGCAAATGTCAGGGTTCTTGTTGCGCTTAAAAATTAAGATTTGTAGACTTTGGGGCCCTGCAGGGGCTTGAACAGGCGAGGCATATCAGACTAGGAGGAGCAGGTGGAATGAGAGGCGCTGATTCGCTTTCCAGTCCAAATAATTTCTTTCCCCAGCTTGGACCTCACTTCTCTCAATTCGGCGGAACAGATGCACGCCTGTACCTGGATACGGAACCACCTGGAAGAGTATCTCGACACCTGCTTGCCAAAACAAGACGTGTACGATGCTTACAAGTGAGTAAAGCGGGCCAACCTGTGGCCTGTCTGTGAGGCTAGCGGTTTCGCACAGTCCCCCCTGTGGTTCCCCCCCCCCCACCGATGGGTGAGATGGCTAACAGTCCTGGGCAGGTAGGCCGTGCCAGGTGTTTGTGCCCCGGAAGAAAATTCTGCAGCCTTTCACCTCTCTTGGCAGGCGCTACTGTGACAACCTTTGCAGTCGCTCCCTGAGCGCGGCGAATTTTGGGAAGATCATCAGAGAGATCTTTCCGAACATCAAAGCAAGAAGATTGGGTGGACGCGGACAATCCAAATATCCTTCCTCGTACGATGTCGAGAGGGCTGGAGGGTGGGTGGGTGGTCCCTGGATGGAGACCCATGTCCACAGCCTGGTGTCCTGAATGGGGCTTGAAACCCATTTCCTGACCTTGGAGGGGGTCCCCAAGAATTCTCGGCCCTCCTTGTTTTCATCCAGCTCTTCAAAGCAAAACGCACTGGGCTGGCGCCGTGTGGGTTTCAGGGCTGTCCTGCTTCATTTGTCCTTAATTCTCCTCCAACATATTGCTATAGTGGGATACGTCGAAAAACAGTGGTCAACATGCCACCCCTGCCCAGCCTGGACCTTAAAGAAACAGAGACCGTAAGCTCTGCGGACTCACTCGTGAATCATCCGTTGCTTTCTGAGAACTGCCTTTGGAAAGATTAAACCGAGACAGACGAGGCAGCCGGACCCTGGGTCTTGTCCCCAAAGAGATAGACCACCCCTACAGCTGGAGGTTCTATTGGGCTAATAGGAGGCCATTCCCACTGGATCTCTTTGTAACCGTTTAGGCTTCCCGGCCACAATGCCATCTAGGCAGAGCAGCCCCCAACCACGGCCAGATGGTTTACGGTAACAGGGAAGCCTGTGGTACCCCTCCTTCCAGATCCAGGACGATATGCTTGTATTTTACCGGTTTTCTTCCCGCTGTGTTTGGGGTGTTCCGGTGGATAAGGGGAGGCAGTTAGAGGGGACGCTGGGGGAAAGGGGTTGAAGCCAGGCTACGGTTCAGGCCTGTCTGCTCCCTTCCTGCAGCTGGAGCGAACGGAAATGACCCACTCCTACAACGACGAGGTGGTGGAGGCCGCCTGTGCCTTGACCTGCCACTGGGCTGAAAAGATCCTCAAGCGCTCCTTTGACAGCATCGTGGAGGTGGCCCAGTACCTCCTCCAGCAGCACCTCATCAGCTCCCGCTCGGCCCACGCCGACCTGGTCCTGGCCACCGTGGTCACAGGTGGGACCTCTGTACCTGACCGGGGCCTCCCCAGATTAGCCCAGCTCCAGTGGAGAATGGCAGAAGGGCTGGTGGGGTGGGGAGGGCTGCGTTTTGCTGACGTCTCGGTCCCAACTTAGTCCCGTCCTTTTGGGGGGGGTTGGAAGATGCTGGAGATGGCCAAACTCAAGAGACCTGCGGCTTCGCTCTAGGATCATCACTGTTTGGGGCTGAGGTTATGCCCTTCCCCATCTCTGCCTCCTGCAGCATAACTAAAGCCCTAAAAAAGCGGGTTGGCCGATATTCCATCTTGCTTCCTTTGGTTCAATTTCCCTGGCTGCAGAAAACACCGAGAGCTCCCGGGACAAGCGCCCTCCCCCAAAGAAAAGCGAACCAGAAGCCGCAGAAAACGCAGCCAAAACGCAGCCTCAGGTACGAAACGCTGGTGTGTATGTGGGCGGGGGGGGGAATAGCCACCCCAGGAGAAACCCTTGTGGCTTATAGGCAGGGAGGTTGCGAGGCAGGCAGAGTGGAGAAGAGGGAGGAATCCTGAGATGTAAGTTGTATAAATCAGCTACGACAAAGGGGGTGCTGCGTGGACCCTGTCCTCAGATCTAGCTCGCAGTTGAGGGCGGGAAGGAACCCTCTGGATCAAACCAGACACCTCTAGAAAGCCCACGAGTCAGGCACGAAGGAAACGACAGGCAAACCCACACCGCTGTTTCCCAGCGCCGACTTTCACGGCTGCATTATTTCTGAACACGGAGGCTCCAACTAGCTACCGTGCCCTCGAGCGTCGGCAGCCAGACTAACCCCACAGAGGAGCTGAACGGGCTGGAAGCATCACCTCGGTGCCTCTTCCGTCATGCCCTCTCCAACCTTTGTGTTTCAGGCTAAGACAGAAAATGCGCCCAAGCCCTCGGCCGCAGCCCCACGGAGTGAAGCCAAGAAGCCGGCGGACGTTCTGACCAAAAAGGCCAGCAGCCCGCAGGTCAACGCCTTGGTGGCCCGTCTTCCCTTGCTGCTTCCGCGCGTGCAGGTCCAACCTGGGGACCGGTTGGTGGTCTCTCCCGGGACGGCGGCCGTGCACGCTTCCCACCCCGTCCTGGCTCCTAAGCTCACCGCTGCCCCGGTTGGGGGAACAGTCAAAATGGCGCTCTCCGTGGGGGCACCCTCCTCAACTTTACTCGCCTCAGCGGTGAACGGCCCCACCAGCCTGGTCAGCCAGCCAGCTGCCGTGCCGGTCATCAACATGGTGCCGGTCATCAATGTGGCAGTCCCGCCCGCAACTGAGAACCGGTCAAAGCCCAAAAGCACAGCCCCCAGTGGGGGTGGTGGATCATCCAGCAATGACACCGGGCGGAGCCCTGGTGATCCGCAGAAAATCAAGAGCCCCGCCAAGCGGCCGGCAGACCGACCCGGGGAGGTGACCACGAAGAGGAAGCGTGGACGGCCGCGGAAGAACCCGGACGAGCCTCCTTTGCCGGAGAAGAGCATCTTTAGGAAAGAGCCGTCGAAAGGCAAGGAGCCTTCTGACCTCATTGGGGTGCCTGCGGGGGGCACAGAGGCCCCCCCCCCCTCCCAAGCTTCCCCCCCGCAGAAGGAAAAAGAGAAGACCCCAGCAGGGGTGCCCCCCGCAGGCACCCCAATGAGGGCAGAAGGGCCCTTCGCTTTCGGAGGCCCATTTCTAAAGATGGTCTT